CTGGACCCCTGATTCCCTGCTCAGGGCACTTTCCCGCTCCTTGCCCCCTTCTTAGCCTGGGTTTCAACTTCCCAGTCGTGTAAGTAGGAAAGACATGCTCTTCATAGCGGCAGAGTGATCCTTATTCACGCAGATTTCAAACGTGCCCTTCTGTTTGCCCATCTGATGGGTTGCCCAACATCAAAGGGAAAAAACTACCCTTTAGTCAGAAATGAACATCAATTCCCTTTAGTCAGAAATGAACATCAATTCCCTTTAGTCAGAAATGAACATCAATTACCCCTTCTCCTTCAAAGGGGGTCCTTGCACTCCACAGAGGCTAGGAACCATGGCTCTCTAGAAACCAGTTATCACATTGTTCTCTCACGGCTGCAGCGTCCCTAGAACAGCCCCCTTCTGCTCACAGAGATTGCTTCGCTCGGCAGCGTGTGATAGGTTCCACCCACGGATGCAAACACGTGCAGGAGCCCTGGTTTCTCAGGCCCGTGGTCCCTGATGCGGGAGCTCGTGCACCTGCTGACGAGTGCTCAGCTGTCACACCCCCGCGTGGATTTTCTCTGCTCCTCACTCACCTGCGCTGCCAAAGGGAATGGGAAGGAAGCCGCCCAGGCTGTGCACCAAGGTGGCCGGGCGGTCCTGGGTGACAGTCACACCCCCCTTCTCGGACCCTCTTAATGGGTTCAGCTCGTTTCTTTCTGAGCAAGCTTGTTAAAAGCCAGCGCGGCTTGGTACGCTAATGAGCTTCCCTTTCCTTTTCTGCCTTCCAAGTTTCTAGGGGGACTCTTCCCCCGAATCAAATGCTAAGTGGGTTAGGCACTTTCTTATTTTAGTCCTGAGACATTTCTTGCTCCAGGAAAGAGTAAAGGTTTATTTTACTTCAAAGATCAGCCCTTCACGTTACTCAAATCAGCAAGACTTTTCCTGGCTGGGTGGCGGGGGTGGGGTCTGGGGAGAGAAGGAAGGAAAAAAAAGCAAGAAAAGACAACCTCCAAATATCAATACTCTTTTTTTTTTTTTGCATGTGGGAATTATCACCAACCACTATAGATATGAACAATGTGGTCTAGCACTGCTTTATTTATCGCTGTGGCAATGAAAATAACTTGGTACGCTGCCAGTTATTTTTAAGAGGTGGTAGCACAGTGTTTCTTTGAATGTCAAAACCCAGAAATAGAGCCTTTAAGAATTTCTTCCATCTGCCAGACTGGATGTTGGCTGGGCAGAGATTTCAACAGCACACGTGATGGAATCGGCCTCCTGGCCCGTATGTGGAACACAAGCCCGTGAAACCCGCCGCCCCCGTGTGGCGTGCAGCTGGCCGAATGCAGCCCGGCTCCACTTACCTGGTTGGCAGCCAGAGGGAGAACTCCCGGCTGGGTGGCAGGTCTGACCCCGGGGTCAATGGTGACATATACAGGAAGGAGCACGGCCAGCCCTGGGAATGACAGCCCGTTAACGGGATGAACCCTGCAGAGGAGGTTGATTGGGAAGGCCTTTCAACAGAGGTTTGCTCACTTTAGGAACTCCTCCCAGGAATACATAGGAGGCGAAATCTGGGGTGTTGGTTTTGTGGTTTCAAATGTCTGGGTTGAAATGGCTTGAAACGGAAGTGGGCTTGAGAAGACTTCACTTTGAGAAGAGATCCAAAGACGATTGAGATGCAGCCCCCGACCCAAGGGGCTCCAAGGTTTGTACAGGAGGCAGATGAGTCGTTAGAACTAGAAAAATGAACACCCTGATGGCTGGGAGTTTGCTCTCCCAAGAGGAGACTAAATCTCTCTACCGATTCCCCTTCTGTTACCAAGCCTAGTGGGGGAGAGAGCCCTGCCTGGGAATTGGATGTGGCCCAAGGTCAAGAACATGTCAGTGTCCTGGCTTCTGCTGGGTCGTGTAGCGGATGGCGGGGTGGGGGTGGACAGATGACTGTTGGGAACGACACTGGGGAAGGCCCAGTTCTTTCCTCCCCACAGTTTAGCTTCTACCTTATGTCTCAAATTTCAGAAAAGTCTGTTACATACCCCATTCGTGTGATTGAATTGTGGAGACTTTAGGGACATCGGCCCTCTGCTGGAGTCAGCTTGGTGGCAGCACTTTCATATTGACGAAGGACAGTGGCCCAAGGACGGCAGTCAGCCCCGTGCCCCATACACACTTTCCCCAGGTTACTGGGGGAAGATGAGGCTTGAAGAGAAGGTCATGAAATACTTGGGTCACATCACAAATACTCCTTCTCTCCCTGCGAGTCCCATAAAAGTACCCCTGTCTGCTCACCAACACAGTTGTCCGAGCCACCCCACCTGGTAGCATCTCCTGATTTCTCCTCTGCTGCCCTCGCTCCTAGCATTGCTGTATTTGCCGTCCTCGTCAAGGGCACACTGTTGAAGTATGTGTCAAAGTGCGCTGCCTCCCACAAATGCTGAGCTGCCCACTGCTGCTGCTGCCAGCACCCAGCACTCAGAGAACTGACCCCTGCTCCCCGTGTCCCTCAAGGGTTTCGGCAAACAGCTCCTTTGGTTTGCTGACTCTTTAGAAACCCTCTCTCCCGAGTGCTCAGGGGAAGCCAGGGGAGCTGAGGAAACCAGTGTGGAAACTGACATGGAAACTGCCCCTGTGGACCGCAGTCAGAGAGGCAGGGGTTGTGAGTTCTTAGAAGAGTTCCTCTTCTCATGCACTGGCCTCAAGATGAAAGTTTAACTCCTTAATACAGGCTCCCCAAATTATCTATGACATGACCTGAATCCCACCTTCTTGTCCATCCCCATCTCTCACCACCCCCTTTAGTTTTCCTGTGGTCCCCACACTTGCCTGCTCTTGTTAATAGAAGCCTGTGTACATACTATTATCTCAGCCTGGAGACCATTCCCTAAGCTTCACTCACTTTTCGGAATCCTACTCACCGCGCTGGATTCAGCCATGGCAGTACTTTCTCCAGGAAGCTACCCAGGTCCACTCCCAACACCTGAGAAAACTGTGCTCCCAGGGCACCCTGTCCTACCATCAATCATGAACCCTGTAATGTCTGTTGACCTCTCCGGCTCCCCTCAAGTTGTGCCTTAAATATCAATGCCATGGCCTGAGCTGCAGAACTCATTTCAGCAGTTCAAAGGTAACAGGCCAAGGCCTCTGTGAGCCCCTCAGCCTTTCTCTCATGCTTTTTACCTCATGGTCACAGAATAGCTGCTGCTGCCCAATATGTTCAAGCATCTCTTCATATCCCCAATTATCCAGTCAGTCTCTAATTTTCTTGATCATTTTTATTGCTTTATTTGAATCAGATTCATATCACATTTGGCTATTTTTAACAATATTATATACATTAAGCTCCAAATGTCCTTTTATGAGATTAAAAATAAATTCTTATTTGTTTGAGCTGGTCATACTGGAGTTTTATGTTCCTTGCAGCCAAACTGTAATACAGTCCACAATTTCTAAAAATTAAAATTTATTTTCTCTCATTAGCAAATTAACACACCCTGCTTATAGAAATCTTAATATAGAATAGTAGAAATAAGGAAAAGGAAATCAGAGTCCCATCACTGAAATACTGGTAACATTTTGAGATATTTTCTTCCCGTGTTGTTTGAATAGTTGTGATAACACAATAGTAACAAATTTGTTTCCTTTTATTGTTTAACATTGTTAAAAACCATTTTGGGGGTGATAGAAATATTCTAAGATTGATTTTGGTGATTGTTGTACAACTCTATGAACATACTAAAAATCGTTGGATTATACATCCTAACTAGGTGAATTATATGACATGTGAATTATATCCCAATGAAGCTGTTATAAAAAATTTTAGATAAGCATATCTTTTATGATGAATTCAATGTTAACATTTTTAATCAATGCATAATCATCTCTCAAGAGGCTTTACTCCAATTTATTCAACTATTCTGTTGTTCAATATTTGGGTTGGTTCTACATTTTGGCTATCATAAAATTTCTAGTCAAATTCTCTGTGCTTAAGGGTTCTTTTTATCTAGAATTAGTTCCTCCCAGAAGCAAAAATGTTGTGCCAGAGTATAACACCACTTAAGCATTTATCAAGCCTATATTGGAGGCTTACAACCAGTTATGTATGGACCATACTAAGTACTCTTATATGCATTATTTCTTCAAATTCTTCATCACCCTAAGACAGTGGTCGGCAAACTCATTAGTCAACAGAGCCAAATATCAACAGTACAATGATTGAAATTTCTTTTGAGAGCCAAATTTTTTAAACTTAAACTATATAGGTAGATACATTGTTATTAACTTAATTAGGGTACTCCTAAGGCTTAGGAAGAGCCACACTCAAGGGGCCAGAGAGCCGCATGTGGCTCTCGAGCCGCAGTTTGCCGACCATGGGCCTAAGAGGTCTATGCTACCTCTAGTTTCAGAAGTTGAAACTGAAGCGCAGAGAAGACAACCAACTCATCCAAGTTCACAGCGTCAATATACAGAGGAGCCAGGGACCTACCCAGCTCTGTCTGGTCCCAGAGACCATGATCACTCCCTCATCAGGCCTTCATGTGTTCAAACCTTGCTAGGTTTCAATGGTGAAAATGCTGTCATTTTCTGAATTGTTTTTGGGTGACGTTGGATATTTCCTTGTGTTTGCCACATCAGATGCACTCTTTTTTTTGTTCATTACCTGTTGCAGCCTTTCCCGTAGTGGACTATACAATTTGCAGAGTGAATAGAGTGAATAACATGTAATCAATGGCTGGTTACCCTCATTAAAAAGAAAGATGCAGGCTCAGCTTCCTTTTGGGAAATGCACTTCAGTGGAGAAGCACCTTTAATGATGGCCGGCATGCCCCTTAGATTCAGCTCTCGTTCTTCCGCTTGTTCCTTCCACCTGGCTGAGCCAGGGTACAGAACGGTGAGAGTGCACAGTGCACAGTGCACGGGAAGACTACCTGGCTACAGGGCTGGCCCCCCCCTTCAGAGCAGTCCCGTTCTTCCGTGAAGCAGGAGGGCTTGAGGCAATCATTGCTCTGCTCCGAAAGCACTTAACCAAAGAGCGGCTTCTTTTCCACGGTTATGTAGACAAATACCACAATGATGAAGATGCCAAACACTGCAAGCGTCAAGCCCACTGGAAACCGTTCTAGGTTCCTGCTCCCAGCACTCCCGTTTACTGTGCAGTCGGCCTTCTCTTTGGTGTTATTCCATTCTCTGAATCTGGGGTATGGTGCTCCTGAGGCCCACCTGTGAAAACATTAGGGGTTCTTAGGGTTGAGTACAGGACGAACCAGCACCCCCGAACGTGTGTGGCCGTGAGGCTCAAAGGAGCAACCCTGTGGGGCTTCAGGGAGCAGGCCTCTATCATGAAAAACCTAGGCTAATTTTAACAAGCGGTGTTAACAGGGTATCATGAGGATGTGAGGTCTCAAATGCCCCACAAGCATTTCTTTATGTCTGTCAATGCCGGCGCGAGGCCTGGCCCGGGGACTTACAGATCCCCTGGTCCCTACTGGGGAGCCGCAAAAGCCGAATGGGGGACACCAGTCCACAGTCCTTTCTTCCCAGGCTAAACCCAGCCTTTCAGGGTGCAGATGGGAAGTGCTTTTGAAATGTGCTTATTTTGCATTTCAAAGAGCAAGAGGATGCTTTCTGAAACCTTCCAGAGAGTCTTACGTTTCACTGGTTTAATCTGGAAAGCGGCTGAAGTTTATTCAGAAGTCAGGGAACTTTCCAGAAAGCTTTACTTTCTGACTAATGAAATGGCCAATCTTGAGCTTTTATTTCAACTACCTGCTCTCTCTCTTTCTCTCTTTTTTTTCTTTCCCCATTTTCTAAGACACAAAGAAAAAATGTCTACCAATCCAGAACCCCGGGTTCTGGCCTCAGTGCATTGTGACTTTGCGCATCCCCCTCAGCCCCTCTGGCCTCTAAACCTAAGTGGTGAGCTAGAGACTATGTAAGGCCCCTTGAGCTTTGAAATGAGATATTATGAATCTTTCTTCTCTCTCAACAGATTCTTTTTCAGACTCAAACCCTTCCCAAAAATCTGAATAACATTTTTTTCAGGAGTTACATACGTCAGTAATATCTCCTCAGGTGCTAAGAAAAGTATTACCTTATTTTCTCAGCGTGCTTATGATGTGGACAGTAGAGATGTTGGGGTTTTGGTGTAGAGGTGAAAGCCTTGGGTCTCTAATGAACAGAAAGAAAATATCAAGAAGAACTTATTTATCAGGAAGATAATACAAATTATCAAGAAGAGCCCTCACAGTTTCCAATGTCTTGTACAAAGGGCCTTATTTTTTGTTCTAGAAAATAATCGTCCTGGCTGGGTGGCTCAGTCGGTTGGAGCATCATCCGGTCCATCAAAAGGTTGTGGGTTTGATCCCGGATCAGGGCACATACCAGGTTTCAGATTCCATCCCTGCTCGGGGTGCTTATAGGAGGCAACCAACCAATGTTTCTCTCTCACATTGTTGTTTTTCGCTCTCTCTAAAATCAATAAAACATATCCTCAGGCAAGGATTTTAAAAAGTTAATATCTTTTTAAAAAATTGTATAATCTAGGGCAGTGATGGCGAACCTTCTGAGCTCGGCGTGTCAGCATTTTGAAAAACCCTAACTTAACTCTGGTGCCGTGTCACATATAGAAATTTTTTGATATTTGAAACCGTAGTAAAACAAAGACTTATATTTTTGATATTTATTTTATATATTTAAATGCCATTTAACAAAGAAAAATCAACCAAAAAAATGAGTTTGCGTGTCACCTCTGACACGCGTGTCATAGGTTTGCCATCACTGATCTAGGGACTGATAAAGTTTCTGGTACATCAGGTAGTTTAGTACTTCATAATATAAAATATTTTGAAAGGAGAGGGGGAGACAGAGAAACACTGACAAGAGAGAAAGGTTGATAGGCTGCCTACTGCACCCCCCACACACACACACACACACCGGGAATAGAGCCCGCAACCCTGGTTATGTGCCCTGACTGGGAACTGAAGTGGCAACCTTTTGGTGCACGGAATGACACCCAACCAACTGAGCCATGCAAGTGAGGGCTCATGAAGTAATATTTTACATCAGTGACTCACACATGAACAATAGACACACCAGTGTCAAGGGTCACTTGACACAAGAAGCATTCTGTTCTTAAATATCATCTTTCTATTTTGCACTTTTATTTGTACTTTTATTGCTTGGAGCTTTTTAAAAAATATGTTTTTATTTATTTTAGAGAGAGAAGAAGGGAGAGGGATAGAGAGATAGAAACATTGCTGAGAGAGAAACATTAATCAGCTGCCTCCTGCACAGCCCCCCGCTGGGGATCGAGCCCACAACCCAGCATGTGCCCTGACCAGGAATCAAACTGGTGACCTCCTGGTGCATGGGTCAACGCTCAACCAGAATCACACCGACCAGGTGCTCGGAGCCTTTTAAATAAGCATGCAGCATTTTTATACAAAGAATAAAGTTATTTTTTTAAAGTTGGCTATGAACAAGGACTAGAAAATAATTTAGGAAAATGAAATGTTCTGTATGAGGGATAGAAGTAAGGACAATCATGTTTTCTTTTCCTTTTCCAAAAATTTCTTTGATGTTGTCATTTTTTCAATAAAGTAAAAATGCATAGTTCTCTATGCTTGTTTCCTCTCTGTGAAATAAAGTTGTAAAGATTAAGTGACTTCATCTCTGCAAAATGATTAAAACATTTCCTGATATATAGTAAGCACTTAATGAAAGCACTTAGTGCTAATGATAATTATTGTTAATTTCGTGTTCCATTTTTCCTCAACTGCCTGGTTGTCCTTGATTGTCTATTCAGACTTCAGCCCTCTCAGCCCTGGCTTTGTCTGGAAGGTCGTCCGGATGGTCGTTCTGCTGTTCGGTCTAATCAGCATATTAGCTCTTTATTATGTAGGATATTCAGGCCTTATCATCCTCAAGTGTCTGCAATGTCCAAGAATGTGAAGCTGTGGTGTCTGATGATGTTGCAAACCACCATTTACCAGGTGCCAGGCCCCGTTAACCCACTAACTCACCAAGGCCTCCTGGACCACCCTCCCCTCATCTGGTAGGCACTGTCATTGCTCCACATGGGAGATGATGAGTCTTGAGGCACAGAAAGCTTAAGTAACTAGCCTAGGGTCACACAGTATTATCCTTCAATTTCTAAAAATAATTTCCCTCCTGCAAGAAGTCTTCTTTATTATTCTCATTCACTCAGATCAGTTGTCTAGTCTATATTTCCTCAGCCCTAATACACATGTTGTCTTTAATCAAGGCATGATATCTACCATGTAGGGGCATTGGTAAGTTGGTGTTTACCCCCCTTCCCGGGGACCCAGCCCCCCTGAACATGAGAGGGGCCTCTGACACCTCCCATGCTGCCAGAGGCCTCACACAACAGCAGGCCATGGACAAGGGAGTTGGGGACTGGAGCATTCCCCAGTATTCTCATGAAATCATTACTCATCAAAAAATGTATCTGGTTTTTGAAAAAGGATCTACTCTGACTAAAATGATTAATATTTACCCATAAATAAATACAAGTTTGCTTGCATTAGGCAAGATGTGTATTTTACAGTGTGGACCCAAACCTGGCCTGAAATGTCATAGGCTGGCACCTTCAATTGTGGGCAATGAAAGAAGGGGCGCTGAGTGCTGAGGCCCCCACCCCTCCTTCCTCTTATTCTTCCAGGACTTCTTACTGTTGGAGCTTAGGGAGCCAGGAGGCAGTGATGCTCCCGGGAGGTGGGGATGAAATTGTCTTCAAGCTGAAATGTGTTACATTTTTCAATCACTCTCCCTCACTAATGCAATTGTTGAAGAAAGGCCTGTACGTAGAACCAGACATTTTTACAAATGACTTGGCAAACTGGCAGTTATGACCTTCTTACAAGTGGGGAAAAAACTCAATTTAGAGCTCTTTAATATTGAGTTAACCCCAAATCCCTTTATTGACTAAAACTGATTAAGTTAATAAAGATCTTGCAATAATTTCACTCTATTGTTTTTACCTCAACCTTGATTTAATAAAGCTCTAATTTAAAACATTGTGTTCTTTTAACCTAAATAATAATTTTGAATTAATTAAAAGCCTTTTAAAATAATCTGCACTACATTAACAAAAGAAAGGTTAAAAACTTTGTGATCATCTGCATTCCTGCTTTAAAATATCTTCTTGCAAACCAGGAATGGGATGGGAACTTCCTTAACTAGATACAAGGTATCTCCCAACACCTACACCAAAAATTATACTCAAAGGTAAAATATTAAGCCCAGCTGGCATGGCTCAGTGGTTGAGCATTGGTCTATAAACCAGAAGGTTAGGGTTTGATTCCTGGTCAGGGCACCTGCCTGGGTTGCAGGCTTGATCCCCAGTGTGGGGGCGTGCAGGAGGCAGCCGATCAATGAGTCTCTCTCATCACTGATGTTTCTATCTCTCTCTCTCCTTCTCCCTTCCTCTCTAAAATTAATTAAATATATTTTTAAAAAGAGGTAAAATGTTAAAAGCATTTTCTTTAAATCAGAACTAAGGAAAGTATTCCTACTATTATCACTTACATAATATTATAATAAAAAGGTTGTAGAGGCACAGGTAAACAAAAAGAAATTAAAGGTATACAAATTAGACTAAAAAGAATCTGCAGGAAAATTATTATAATTGCTAAGAGTTCATTGTTATAAGACAAAAGGTACTGACAAAAGTCAACTGCAATTCCATATACCAGCAACAACCCATTTAAAGCATATTTTTTCAAAGATACTGTTCCCAACAAAAGAATTATTTCCAACAAAATTTGGCAACAAACATTAAAAGCCTACCTAGTAATAAAGCTGACAAAAGATGAGCATGATCTTTATTAAGAAAACAATAAGAATCTTACTGAAGGACATTAAAGAAAATTTCAATAAATGGAAAGATGTAACATGTTCATGAGCAGGAAGACTCAACAGAGTAAAGATTCAGCTTTTTCCAGATTAACTTATAAAGTTAGCAAAATTTCTATCTAAATCACATTCTGAATTTTTCATGGAACTTGATAAGCTTATTCTAAAATGTATTTGCAAGAACTAAGGGACAAGTAAAATCCACCGACCAATTTAAACCAACAAGGTGAGAGGGGTTGCTCTGGATGAAGACATTCTTCTATGAGCGCAAGCTGGACACATTGATCAGAATAGAGACCCCATTGTACTATTAATCACGGTTTTTGTTTTCTGTATTTTATGAGGCT